TACAACGCACATGTCCAAATCAGGATCGGGGTTCAACATTCGGCGTCCCAAATGATTGTCAAATGATTCTCAATCGATCACCCTTGACTTGTATAACATTTTACAATAATATGATATGCCAGACGCATCCGCCGCGCCACGCGCAGCAAGTGTGTGCTCACATTCGGCTCGGATACTTTGGATGCTTGCCCCTGAGCGAAATTGCATGCAGAATTGGGACTATAATAGTAGAAAATCAAACAGAGAGAAGCTAGTCTTGCTTCGGCGGAGGCATCCGCCACTATGACCATGTCAACATATTTGAACAGAGTTGCGGTTCAACACCTGGGAGAGTGTATGCAACTGCTGCTAAACACATGTTTGACTGTTGTAAATTCCCGAGTCGATGCTCAGTACTGCCGGGGAGCCAAGTACGACTCCTCAAGCTCCCATGAGAACCAATTGACTTGTTCGGAAAGTCCAACCGTAAATCTTGTCCGTGAGCCACAACGGATGCGGAGCATCCTCCGGGGGTAACTGGGGAGGTACGGACATAGTTTACTGTCAGTAGTGGGGTCAGTTCACCGCACCTGTAATCTTTAACAGCTGAAAATATGTTGTCTGTTGATTCGCCCCATAGCGTAGTCGGTGCACTAGAACACTGTGGTTGTTATCCCGAGACTAACCCAAGGCACCTGCAAAGCCTCCAGGAGTTTTTGTAGCGACACAAACGGACGGCACTGATTTTGCATGGAAGTGGTGTTGTTGAAGGCCGAAGTTCAACTGGAATCTTGTTTGCATTTGGGCTGTTTCGTGTACCGGATTTTATTTGGCCTATAAAAATATGGAATAAATTGGAACGACTGCGGGGCATGTACAGAATGCATTCCCGGGGATAAAACCTATAGAACGTACCGCAAACGAGTACAGGACAAAAAGAACAGATTGGGACCAGCTTTATTCGTCTCCTGATTGGTTGATATCTGACGTGAAGCGTCGTAATTTGTTACGTTTGTGACGGGGCGGATGGACTGCCGGACTTGGCGGTGACGTCCGCCGCACGCGCGTACCCATCCGCCACCATCCGCCATGACTCTCGAGCAGCTGAGAGTTCCCGCTATGAACATGGAGACTTGACGAAGGCTAAGAAGTATAACTCGGTCGGCAAGTTGATGATCTACCAATCATTGTCGCCATCTCTTTGACGGAGCGCTGGTGGACGCCTTCGAGTCTTGCCGTCGGAGGCCGTGGGGTGGTCGGTGGCTGTCGACACTACCACACTGGTGTAGATTTATACGAATGAGTCTCCGGGTCATCAGAGGCAGTGCATGTGGCTTATGCATCTTGCTCTTGTCTCCCGTTCGACGATGTCCTTCTCAAGGCTCTTGACCCTTGGTCTCCGAGTCTTTGCCTTCCTCCTCTGTGGTTCTGTCCTCCTCCCGCTCCGACGCCTGGCTTGTGAATGGCCTGCACATCACCTCTCATCATCTACTTATCTTCCAACTGTGCCCTCGCTCTGCGGCGGATCCATCCGCCAGCCCTGAAAAAGAAACCGGAACATCGTAGAACATCATGCTGAGTCGCAACCCCAATTCATGCAACTCTCCTGAGCTCTCCACTATCCCCTGTACTAAAGGCATAGAGGGAACCAAGCACGGGCATCCGCCGTGGGCTGGTGCTTCGGACCGATCTGCAGTCCTCTGCACAGTATCACAAGCTCCGTGGTGCAGTTTCGTCTTTCGTGCCAGTGTGTCTTGGGGACACTATCTACCCCATTCCACGCCGACCCAATGCCTGTTCTTCCCCTGCCGGTTGTTGGCTCGGCCCGCGCTGGGCTCCCCGCCTTGGTCATACTTCCAACGCACACCACTCACGGACGGGTTCACTGTGACTGACATAGCGCTGGTTGATTGACAACAGATTTTTCTAGTGAGCATCCTTGGGCGGCGGATGCATCCGCCGCTTCACCTGCCGGCTCTCCAACATTGTACCACCTCATCTTTTAAAGCTCTCGATTTGTTGATCTATGCTACCCTCCCATGTGTGTCATATTCAGCATTCACTTTTGAACGAGTTCATTCTTAATTTATCCATAATTTCGGTGTTGCAATCGTTTAGTGCGCAGCACCTATTTATCGTGCGTTGTGCACCGGAAGGTTTAACAAGACCCTGGTTTTTCCTAAGCAAACTGAATATTGAAGCGGGGACGCGATGGCGTAGACCCCGCCGCTACACGCGACGCGCCAACCTAGCGCCAGGTATATTTCCCGAAATGGGAAGCACACCTAATAGTGGCGCAATCCGCCCGGCGGATGGGGCCTCTTAGGCCCCCTTTACTCATACAGCGCAGGGGGCCTAAGAGGCCCTTTACGGCATGATGGCGGTCACTCCTGAGGTGCACTGACCCCGCCGACAAAAAAAAAGCATTAGTATTCGGTCGTCCATATGGCCCGAGCTCGAATTGAATCAGCAGCCCCGCTGACGGGACAAGAATACCCCTGCATTTAATGCGGGTGCGGATCCTCCGCTACAGGCATTCTTCCTTGTCAGAAAGTACAGATTTCCAAACATCCAAGCAAAACACTTGAGTAAAGTATCAGTCATAGTCTATGATAGATGCGCGACGGATCGCAAATTCGAGGATCGGGGCCACGCACAAAAATCAAAATCCGCTTGTCAGAATGGTACAGTACCATGCCAACCCAGCCTGTATGTGCGCGTCATCGTAGTGCACAGAAAACGAAAGATTGATGTAGAGCACGGTTGAAAATGCGGCGCGCCGATAGAGAGACGCGAGGTGCGCGACTTGCGGGATGTTCCAGGGGGAGCGCAGAGGATCACAGCACTTCCCTTACTGCAGCGACAGAACTGCTGTGCAGATGAGACCGGAGGCAGGCGAGTAGTTGTAAAGTTCGGGACGACGGCAGCCAATAGACCGGACACGGAGGTAGACGCAGATAGCGAGAACGAGAGTGAGAGAACGTGGCGCGCGATAGCCGGAAATATAGATACGCATAGCACTTTGAGCGAGAAATACTGTGGATGTGGAGAGAGAGTGGCGTCAGATGGTTTATAAGTGTTGAACGGAGCGGCCAGGGTGATCTGTAACGGATCGACGCGTCTGAAGTAGTGAGCACGAAACGGGTAGATTGCGTGCACCTTCTCCTTGCATCCTCTCCTCCCCCTCCATATAACGGCAAGCCCCAGAATCCTGTTCACAGCACTGACGCATTTGAACGCGGCCGTGCACCGGAGGTCGCCAATGGGGACCCAGCGTGCCATTTTATCGTTCAACAAGAGGGGAAGAGGAAGTATCGACGCGCACAGGATCTTCCTGTCCACAAGTTTCCTTGCTATTGCGTTTTTGTGACAGTTTATTCATTACAGGTAAAGAAACTCTGGGAGCGAGAGACGGAGAGAACAGCCTGTGGGAGGTGGAAAATAAATGTACGCACAGGACTCCGTTGAGAGTGGCGCGGAAACGTATAGCGCACGGAAAACAAAGATGACTGTTGAAGCGCGCAAGAATTGCCCACCTGTGACGGATTCAGACGCAAAGGAGCGTAGAATAGATAGATGAATAAATTGAGAGACGTACCTTTTGCTACCTACACCTTCCCTCCGTACTCACGCCGCCTAAACAAAGGCGGGAATTGGCGGGGCTGACACTGAGCGCCACGTTCACCACCAGTGCAACACAATCAACGATTAAGGAGGAAGGGAATGTGGACGCGTACCAGGTTAACGCGTCCGCGTTGTTCCGCTTTGAAAAGAGTAAGGAGAGCGGCATGTAGTTGCGACGAGCGTGGTGTATGAACGCGAGTGCGTGAGGAACACAGTATTATCAGTATCAGCAAATGCATGAGAACTGAGATGCGCCGCCGTCGCGTCGACGTCCACACCCGTGGCTCGCCCAGTCCCGTCCATCCCAGTGCGCTTGCGCTACTGAGACCCACCTCCGCACTCGGCCCCTCCCGATTCTTCTTCTTAGTCCACTTCCCGGGCTCCGACTTGCAGTACACCCTGTCTTGAATCTGCTTTGCTGCCAATTTGCGGCACTGCCAGACTCCGGTGCGTGTGGGATTGCAAGAGCGCGAACGGAGCTTGGGTCGCCGGTGCCTCCAACTGCTGGTCGCGCGAGTCTGAGTCAAGGCGGGGAGAGGGTGACTCGTGAGAGGAGAGTTGGAGACAAGAAAGACGAAAGCGGTGTTTGCTCGTGCTTGCGGACGACGAATGATGATCAAACGCGATCACCTGACGTTGATCTGACTTGGTAACGCGACATCAACTTGCGAGGGAGGACAAAGGAGCTTTCCCTCAGCTGCCTGATCCAATGAGGCCGACGCCTCACTGAATCATGTACGATTGAGCGTGTAGTTGAGCCATTCCCATTCCCCAGTGCATAATGAAGCAGTCAGGAATCGAGCTGAAAGCCGCAATAATCGGGTAGTTGCGTGTACCTACTGAGGAGCTAACCAGAACTACGTACAAGCCTGTGTGGATCAAGTCAGATTGCTCCCTGGCCAGTGCAGATACATCTAGAAACACTTACGGGGAGAGTTGTGGGTTCGAGCCCCACCGCAGGAATGCGAGGTTCGGCGAGTCCCTTTTGCCGGCCGAGACGGGAGTTTTGTTTAGGGTGGAGTGACTTGGCGGGTAGAGAATGTTTGGGTCCATGCTGTGGTATACCGCATGCGGCGATGAAGACGAGTATATTTCCTTACGTCTGCCTCCCTACTTGCCGTCAATTCACCCCGTGCATTGCCATACATCTCATATCTTCAATCTTATCTCAGTGTCTCGCCATTTCTCTGTCACAAGGCCCGATTCTCCATGGATGAACTTGGCTCTGCTCTTGTACCAAACCGGTGTTAATCTGAGCGTTCAGCCTCAGTCTGCAGTCTCTGACACTCAATTTTGACTTGTAATCTTGTTCTTATCAGCTGCACTCTCGAGAAAAGACGCCGCATATTGTTGAATTATCCGTCAAGAGTTATCCCGGCCATAGAAAGCTCATACGAGCCTTTGTGGATCAATATAGATCGCTTTCTGCCTATGCGGATACTGCCATCGGGATATATGGAAGAGATATGGGTTCGAATCCCGTCAGAGGCGTACGGTTTCCGGAATCTTGTTTTGTTCGAACTCGCGCTTTCCGGATTGCCCCATGTGGTGCAGGCGCGGACGGTCCGCCACAGGCCTTGTGTAAACCCTGTGAACGCAGGTTCGCACGCAGAGCTTTTGGAATTCAGCACAGCAAGGTACAATAACTGACCGCGGCACGTACGCGCGTCTGTGTCGCAAGTGCGCTGTGGCAGCGTCTCGAACACACGCTGGAAATAGTGATTCGGAGTTGAACCCCACCGCTGGTTTTTTCCCCACACTGAACACGTCTGAATCCTCCGTTTGCAAGGGAAGGAAAAAGAATCTCGTGAACACGAGTCGAACGAGCAGCCCTGCAGAAATTGTACGCAGACGACATTCGGTGCAGGCGCGGACCGTCCGCTACAGGCCTTATTCACATACATACCTCCAAATGTTAGTTGAGCACTGGTTCGAGATGGGTGGTAACCTCTAATCACATCCGAATGTATCGAATTCTAGCGATCGCGGATGCTGGGGTTACGCACCGATCTTTCAGTTGCCTTCGGCGCCCAGTAGTTGAATGCCACGGAATACCTGAGCAACTCTCGCTGACGTCGTGCTCAAGTCTTGTTACTACATTTTTGATTGAACTGACCGAAGGCTGGTAAGAACCGACAGGAACCAGGACAGGAACAGCACAAGACCCACCACGCGACGCCTTGCTCGAGGATGCCATCGGCGAGAATCAAGAGGTACTGAACGCCTGCAGGAAGGTTTTTGAGGATACAGCGGATCTTCAAGGCATCAAGTATCCAGCGAGGGCAAATGCCCCATTGACAAGGTAGATGGCGACGGTTTGCTACCCGAGGGCTGAAAAGCGACGGGAAAATCAAGGGAAAATGCAAGAAAAATCAGATCAGTGACGAGGGTGGGCCAGTACTTGCTCTGACAAGCGCCAAGAGCGGACCAGGAAGCGGAGCAAGCGAGTATAGATATGCGGATACGTTAGGCGGCGCACAAGCACGACGATGAGAGCAAGATGAGGGCGAGAAGAAAGTTGAAAGAGGCGAGGTGGCAGTGCTGTCACGGCATCGGCGTTGATCGCAAGCAGCAGCACACACCACTGCTCTTCTCCACCATCGGCTCTTTCGGACGACATCGAATCCGATCCCTGGAAACCCGCTGCTCTGCTCCGCTCTTCTACTGCCTGAGATACATGGGCTGCCCGGAGTGGAGTCTGTGTGGCCAGGCGACAATCTTTGGACGAATCAGATTAAGGCTCCAACCATTTAGTTTTCGTGTATGGATCCGCTCAAATCAAACGGAAACGGTTTTTAAACAGTTTTGAACCGTCTAAAACTGTTTAAAACGGTATTTTTTTGAGGGGTCCACTCAACAAGGTATGAGGTGCCAATTACTCACCGCTGTGGCCTTCCACCGACCTTTTTGCGATTCTGCAGGGCGCAATGTACATGCCGGCCAATGTCCCTACTCCTAATGGAGCACAAATGCAAGTCCAAAGCCAGCTGTGGTTTGCGACAAGTGTGAGCCTCGCAGGAAATTAGCGGGAAATGTGAATCGTGTTCGGAACCGGTACCGTCTGTAGGTCGGAAGTTGGTCGGAAGCAACGGCGACCTATCGTCGAGGAGCCATAAGTGGTCTGAGTGCAGTAAATATTTGGCCTTACTCGCAGTTGAAAATCGCATCGGTCAATTGCAAGACCTTCCAACGGGCACTGGATTGATCTGGACTAGGATCTTCAAAATCGCACAGCCCGTGAGTCTTTTGCTTGCTCACAGTAACTGAATTGACCATAAAAATCAACACAGAACACTCACGGAGACATACCTCAGCCAAAATTGTGTCAAAGATACGGGATCTTCGATGCCCGCAGCAAGTAACCCTTTAAACCGTGTAAAACTGTTTGTAAACTGTTTGCCGCCTAGGTCAAATTAAATGGAAACGGAAACCGTTAAAACCGTTTAAAACTGTTTATACATGGAAATGGTTGGAGCCTTATGGACGATCTCGTTGCACTCTTGACTAAATTCCGACATTTGCTTGTACATGTATCTAGCTTGACCGCCATCATCAACGGGCTTTGTGAATTTCGGAAAAGCGAAGATCTTGGGACTCAATTTTACGCTGATTCCCATTGTATGCTGGCCACATTCTCCTGCGTCCCGCTTCAGGTCCAGCCTCCAAAGTCGATCCGACTCGATGTCTCCATTCACCCTTGGCAACTGCTCAGATCAAACTCAGCTCCTCAGATTCGTGCATCATCTTAGTTGAACAGCCAAGCCGTTGTCGACCACGGCGGTCACCTCCTACAGTGTACGGCAGTTCGAGTCAGGACGGAGGATCGGGGTTCGACTCCCGGACATGGCATGAGCGAAAGCCCACTTCTTTTGCTCAGAAGCTTCCTCTGCTCTCTCTGGCAACCCGTGGAACCCGAGTAAGTCTCCACGCGCAGGATCTTCTTTTTCAATGTCCCGTGTAAAACCACCCCGAGGTACAATCTGGTGCGCCCAACACTTTAATTTCTATTTCTATTTCCCATATGCGACGAAACACCTTCTCAAACGTCGGGTATTTCGGTAATGAATCAACTCTGGGCGCTTCGGATTATGCTGCAACGCTGACTCTTTAGCAGGACTAATGCGCACCTCAACCTTATCCTGATGAGCGCTGCTTTGTCTCGATTGGAAGACTATCTCATTCAGCATTGATTAATTCACGCTACGCGGCCGTTGACCGCGGAGGTTGCCCCAACCATATGTCAACTTCCCGCAGAGAACATCCTGGGGGAACTCGTGGTTCGTCTCCACCCGGCGGCATGATTTGGAACAACGGTTCTTTTCGTTTATCTCCCAGTCTTTTTCCCGTGCCCCGAAAATCGTGCCAGACTCATAATCTGGTGCGCATGCTCTATGAGATTTCGTTCCTGCCCTGATACTCATGCGCCATGATAATAGCCAAAACACCTTCGCGAAGTCTGTGATATTCGAGACTTTGTGTCGCACCAGCGGGACGGATGGATTTGATTGTATATACGGGTTTCGTTTCCAAATTCAATGCCGACTGAGTCGGACTGACTAGCAGGTGAGCTTAGTGCCCCAATTGCAAGACTATCTTATGCGGCATGGATTCATTCGCAGCACGTCGCCGTCGACCACGGAGGTCGCCCCCATAATCTAAACAAGTGAGCCCGAATCCACATCTGGGAGGAGCTGGTGGTTCGACTCCACCCGACGGCATAGGTTCGCTCGATATATATTCACTTTTTGTCGAGCTCCTCACTATCTGTGCGCTTTTGCCCTTATCACCCATTGATTCAGCGAATCCGGTCCTCTAACGCAACGCAAAGTTCGCAAGTGCTTCAAATGGATGGCATGGTGCTATCCCCGTCATTCACATAGCCCTCTGCGATTCCCGGGTCTAAGATAATCAGCGTATGTCGTCAACCCACATCGAGTTATTCACCTTTTCGACTCAACTCTTCACGGCAGGGAATGGTGGTTCTACCGTGTCACGTCTGCAAACATCTGAACTGAAGGATGTTGAAGCACCCGTGGCTTTATCTATCCATGCCATCGTCGACCACGGCGGTCGCCTCCCATTGGTGGGGCTCCAAGACGACACATCGCTGCAGGGATGAAGTCGGGGGTTCGACTCCCCCCGATGGCGTGGAGTAGTTGATGTCTCTTTTTTTCTTCCTAAGTATGTTCTCAAACTACGTCCACCCCTCCTTTCGTCAATCTGACTCCAAGCCAGCACATATCGACAAGGAATCCGCGCTTTATCCCGCCGCAACGCATCCGCGCCGGGCAAAAAAATCGGCGTGTAACAGCCCAAGCTGTAACTACCGATCCTATCGTCGACCAGGGTGTTTACCTCCAGTAGGTGGACCATTCTCCTGTCTTGCTGCACGGAGTTCTGATGGTGGTGATTTCTCTTTTTTTTTGCGCCTTATCCACAGCTCCCCCCATCAGGAAAAGCCTACCCTGCTAATTTGGCCAAACTTCACCCAAACTTTGGGTAATTGCCTGAAATTATCCTCGTTAGACCGGTTTAGCGAAACTTGACCCAAATAAGTTACCTCCTACTAATTAGGATAAGTTTGGCCAAACTTATGCGACATTAGGTACCATTACCGCGCCATTGTCGCTCGTTTTTACCACTCAATATCAAGCAGAAGTCATGCGAAAACAATGGATTCAAAGCGTTCAAAGTACAAATACAATAACTATCTAGAAGCCAAGTTACACATGTGCTGTGGCACTTGTTGCGACTTTGCAAAGTTGTGTGTCGACGACGATGATGACGTTGGCGTTGTGGAGCTTGACAGAGTGCGTTGCGAAGCTTGACAGAGTGTTGAGACTGGGAGGCTCAGCGACACGGAGACGACGCTGGGTGGTGTGGTCCTATATCAAGGACGAGGCAGTGGGTCTTGACGTGAAGCGAGATCTGCGAACTCTTGCTGGAAGGGAATTGAAGACAGAAAGACCTTGCGTGAGTCTGGTTGCGTCTTGAATTGAAATCTTGAAGACGGCGCCTCATCTTGACAGCGCTTGAAGGCTTGACAGTACTTGGAGGCTGGCGGAAACGATGTCACATAGGAACGGCACGGAGTGCACAACATAAGCGTGTGAGAGAGAGGGAGGGGTCGGAGGAGCATGCCAGGCATGCAGCGTGTGCAGCGCGAGTTGCGGCATTACTGCTTCTGTTACAATGGACGAAGGTTGTTTGCCGCGGTCGCCAGGATGACGGTGGTGGTGCCACGGAGGAGGAAAGTTGGTGGACAGCAACCGAGAACCTTGAGAAGCTTGAAGGGTTTGGGAAGGGTTTGGGCCGGCCAATCCATCGCGTACGGAGGAGCGAGGACGACGACTGAGGGCGGGAAGTGGGGGAAGATGAGGGAAGAGGAAGAAAGAGGTCGACGTGGCATGATCAACGTTTGGACATGTTGTGTCCGGGCAGTGCTTCTGATAGCTCCGGATGATTGCCGATCGGCTACTGACTTAGGCATT